CTGTCAAGTCTTATCTGACTCATAGCAACCCTCCTTGGGTTTCTGAGGCAGTGTCTCAATGGAAGTAGATTGCCCAGTCTTCCTTCTGAGGAGTGGCTAGTGGGTTTGAACCACCAGCCTTCTGGTTAGCAGTCAAATGCCTTAGGCACTATACCACCAGAGCTCCCAGATAATACATAATCACAGCATATTTAGAGATCAGACTAAATATCAAGTAGGGAATCCTTGGGTCTCAACCTTCAACTTAAGTGTTGGAACAAAAGTGATGATAATTAGCAGCATCTTTGTGATACTTGCTGTTCTAGGTTCTGCTCTTTGGTCAAAGAGATGTTAACCAATACGATGGGCAATACAGTAGAAATGGAAGGAGAGACCGATGGAGACACCTTAGAGGTGAGTCATGGAAGACCTAGAACTTGGAAACACTTTCTACTTCTTAATCTCCTGATTGAGAAGCATGAAAAGGTTAGTTATTTTGTCTTTGCTTAAAGAAAATTTCCTATTCTTCGTGTGAAATTCTTTATATCTTTAAATAATCATATAGGAACCAGACAGCCAATCAGCATCCATGACTTTCTGAGATTAAATTCAAGGCAACTCTATAGAAAAACCTCATTACTTTGGGATCTTCTTAGTCAGAAGTCATAAGAAAGATTTATCCATAGACTAGTCTGAAACTTTATTAAAAAATTTTGCTGAGCTGATTAATGTTATGAGTTAGCCAACTAGAAAAAGACTTTTTGTTTATGCCTCAAGTGAATCTAGTTATATCTCTTTACATACAGTATATTAAATTTAAAATCTTAAAGATTATTTTTAACAAAGTGAGGTCATTGTAAGCTCTTTTGGACAGCACAGCTGTAGTCCACAGTTAATTTATCGCTTCCACCCAGTGAGTTGATTCTGACTCATAGAGACCCTGTAGGACCATAGGCTTTCCAAGGCTGTCACTCTTTATGGAAGCAGACTGCTTCCTCTTTTTTCCATGGACTGGTGCGTGGGTGCAAATTGCTCACCCTTTGGTTAGCAGCTGGACGGTTTAACCACTATACCACCAGGGGGCCTACCCACCATTCATAGTTTAACTATATCACAGTTATTCATATTTGTCACTAAATCAGGTTCTCCCAGTGACTACAGTTTAATGGGATTTTGCTATGCTTTCCAGTTAGACTGGAATTAATTCCTTGAGGTTTCTTTTTGAAAATATTAAAGGGATTAATTTTAATAATTGAGTTAGGTAGCATTAAAGTATGGAAGTTCTGGTGGCATAGTGCCTAAGGCTTTTGACTGCTAACCAGAAGGCTGGCAGTTCAGGCCCAACAGTTACTCCTCGGAAGAAAGACTGGCCAATATACTTCCGTAGAGATGACATCTTGGAAGCCCAAGGAGGGGTCTCTCTGAGTTGAAGCCAAAAGAGGGGGATTCCCCAAAAGGTGAACCAGCTGAGTAACATATGAGCCATATTTCTTAGATTCCATTTCATAAAATCATCTTATGAATATGCAAATAACTGAGACTTCTACTCCTTTAAAGTAATGATTTAATGAAAAGAACACCATCCAAGAAAGGTGATGGCCTTGTACCCAAATCATTACATTTGTGCTTTGCAGGAGCCTCCTCCACTTCAAGTTGTATGCTGCTTTTTTTATCCTGTTGCTTTTTTTTTTTTTTTCCATTTTAGTATGAGTATGACCTTGATGCAAATGGGGACAGAGTTGTGTTGGGGAAAGGCATATACGGGATCGTGTATGCCGGAAGAGATTTGAGCAATCAAGTACGAATAGCCATCAAAGAAATCCCAGAGAGAGATAGCAGGCAAGTTAGAGCAGCTATCTTGCATTTTCAGTGACCGTCTCAGTTCTCACAATCCTGTGCCCACCGCTCATGGTTTGGAAGATTGAAGAATAAAAGGATTGTATCATCTAAAAGTTTGTAATTCTCTTGTAATAAGGAGGATTTGCTTTTGTTTTCTGTGTCTTATAACTAGATTGAGAAAACAGCATGGCCTCCCTTAGAGGCATATGGATTACCCAGGGTCATATTTAAGAAGTTATCTTAGGGCCCTAACAATGCTGCACGGCTGGTATGATGGTCCCTATTTTACAGATGGGAGCCAAGGGAAGAGAAAGTTTCCAGAAAGGAGGGATGGCCAGCAGTGGCAGCAGGTACTGGGGAGGTGCAACGCAGACCCTGATCCTTTGGCAGGTGACCCTGGCTTTGTTTCTTCCTAACAGGTACTCTCAGCCTCTGCATGAGGAGATTGCCCTGCACAAGTACCTCAAGCACCGCAATATTGTCCAATACCTGGGCTCTGTCTCAGAGAATGGCTACCTTAAGATATTTATGGAGCAGGTACCTGGAGGTAAGTAATCTCTAGCCTTCTGGTTTCATGCTCTGAAAATATGATATGAACATTCTTATTTTTCCTGCTATTTTTCGATGTTGCAAAGCATTTGTTTCACAAAAGTTGGAGACACGCTTTCCAATGTCATATTAACAATCAATTTCTGGTCTATTCAATCAAACATTTATTGGCTTGTCTACAGAGAGCCAGTGGTTGGGCTGAGCATTGGAGACAGATAGGTGAAGAAACCTTGGTCCTGGCCTTGAGGCGTTCATGGTCTAGGAGTGGAAAGATGGTATAAGGGAAGAATGGGGAAGGAGAAGACGTGATTTTTAAAAATAGCACTGCAGAAAACTGTCAAGTCATCTCTGACTCATAGCAGCCCTATGTTCAACAGAACAGAACACTGCCTGGTCCTGTGCTGTCCCCACAATCCTTGCTATTCTTGAACCCATCATTGCAGTCACTGTGTCTGCCCATCTCATTGAGGTTCTTCCCCTTTTTCACTGACCCTCTACTTGACCAAGCGTGATATCCTTCTCCAGCAAGTGGTCCCTCTGACAACATGACCAAAGTATGAGAGGTGAAGTCTGGCCACTCTCGCTTCCAAGGGACATTCTGGCTGCACTTCTTCCAGGACAGATTTGTTCATTCTTTTGGCAGTCTGTGATGTTTTCAGTACTTTTTCCCAACACCACAATTCAAAGGCATCAACTCCTCTTTGGTCTTCCTTGTTCATTGTCCAGCTTTCACATGCATATGAGGCGATTGAAAATACCATGGCTTGGGTTAGGCGCACCTTAGTCTTCAAAGCGACACCTTAGCTCGTTCACAATATAAAGTGGTCTTTGGCAGCAGATTTGTTAACAAACAGACAAACAATTAGTAACTAACTCAGACACCACTGCTTTATCTCCATCCTCCCCAAATGCAAGTGCTACTTAGATCTAGAGCCAGTCCACTACGTGCCAGGTAGTGGGCTAGATTTTGAGGGTTACATTAGAGATAAAGAAAGTACAGTTTCTTCCCTCAGGTTGCTCATAGTTGAATAGAAAATATGTAAGTTTAGGTTCACTTTTCTTAATATTCCAAGTGTGAGAAAATAAGTTGCATTCAGACCTAATGTAGTGATGTTGGGGTAATCACATATGTTAGATGGGAACCTCGCCTCTTTTCATTTCCTTTGTTATGGATTGAATTCGATTGAAATGTGCTGTAAACTCTAACTCCTATACTTGTTGATGCCGTCCCATTTGGGAATGCTGCTGTTGTTGTTACGTGCTGTCGAGTCAGACCCGACTCATAGCGACCCCTCCTTGGGTTTCCAAGGCGGAATCACTACGGAAGTAGATTGCCCAACGTTCCTTCCGAGGAGTGGCTGGTGATATAGGGTTTTCTTTATTATATTAATGAAGCCCTATCAGTGTAATGTGTGTCTTAGGCCAGTCACCTTTAAGATATAAATCAAGCTGACTAGACACACAGAAGCAAGCAGAGATGGGGGCAGATAGATGCCAGGCCACCTGAAGATCTCCAAGGAATTGAAGAGCAGAAGTTAGAAAGAGACAAAGCCCTTCCCCCAGAACGGACAGAGAGAGAGACTTCCCCTAAAACCAGGGCCCGGAATTTGGACTTCCAGCCTCCAAAACTGTTAGAAAATAAATTTCTAAAACCCACCCACTTACAGCACTAGATTACAAGATGTCCCCGATCTTATAATTGACACTTTGTCACCCTGACGAGTTCTCTACTGTGTCCATTTCTAGGAAGTCTTTCTGCCCTTTTGCGATCAAAATGGGGGCCAATGAAGGAGCCCACGATCAAGTTTTACACCAAGCAGATCCTGGAAGGTCTTAAGTACCTCCACGAAAACCAGATCGTGCACAGAGACATAAAGGTAGTTGCTTTTCTAAGCCACCACATTGCCCTTACTTACTTACTTACTTACTTATACATAATGCCTTTTGATCATATCAGATGGTAACGGCTTTCCATAGTGCCTGATGCTTGACTGCTTCCTAGAAGGGATGTGCTTTAGCATGACTTTTGGCCTCCAAGGGGGGATGTCTAATTTTCCTAGAAACTTGTAACACTTTTCTTAAAGTCCAAATCTGTTTTGTGTTAGTTTGTTTAAATATATCTTTAAGTGCTAAATGTTCTTCTTTTTCTAAAGGGTGATAATGTTCTGGTAAATACCTACAGTGGAGTGGTGAAAATTTCTGATTTTGGAACCTCTAAACGTCTGGCAGGAGTGAATCCGTGTGCAGAGACTTTTGCTGGTAAGTTGAATAAGCTTGACGTGGGCAGCCATCTTGGAGTTATGCTTTCAGCGCAAGATACGGTTACTCAAGAGTTACTTACTGAGCATCTTCTCGGTGTGGAGTGGGTAATTGATACTTGAGATGGCCAGTGTGTTGTCCCCAATGTTAAATTGTTTTAACTTTGTCACAATGACAGAGTTAGCTGGCTTCTGGTGGCAACAAGATTACTTTACTTTCCACTTTGTCTTTCAAAAAGTTGGGTAGGTATAGGGTTCTGCTTGAGGTTGTCTGAGGGTTTCTCAATCAATAAATCAAATTGCAATTCCACATAATAGCCACTCTTCAAATGGTGTATTAGAAAGATTTGTCAGTCTGTTGTAAAGATTACCTGTCACCTTAATGAATTCTGGTCCCTTGTGTTTTGATGATTGTGTTTCCTGAGGAGGCTAATTCTTCTGGAGAATATGATATTCTCTGATGGCATAGTACCTAAAGCACTTGACTGCTAACCAGAAGGCTGGCAGTTCAAACCCACCAGCCACTCCTTGGAAGGAAGACTGGGCAATCTACTTCCATAGAGATACTGCCTCAGAAACCCAAGGAGGGGTCGCTATGAGTCGGAATCGACTCGGCGGCAATGAGTTTGAAGAGGAGTTGAGCAAATGGATTTTCTTCTCTGTTGTCTGGGACAGAATGATTTAAGCATTGGGAAGGATAGGATCATAATGGCATGAAATTACCAGCCAGCTTTACATTTACAACACCAGTGAGTAGAGTAATGATCAGAAGCTATCCTAAGCCTTTTTGAAATTCATACTTTCAAACAACTGTAGCAGAAACTTTGGTTCTTGGAAAGAAGTCCTGATTTTGAGTAAGTAAAGATTCTCTAAGGAGTAACATAGGCACTCTGGTGGCATAGTGGTTAGGGCATTTGGCTGCTATCCAAAAAGGTCGGTGGTTGGTTGGTAGGAGTTAGGAGCTTCTCGGTGGGGTTGTTAGGAGTTGAAATTGACTCGATGGCAGTGAGTTTGGTTTTTTGTTTGGAAGGAGTAACATGAAGGTCCTTGGGTGGCACAAGTGAGTTTGCAGTTGACTGCTAACCCAAAGGCTGGTGGTTTGAATCCACTCAGTGACACCACTGGAGCAGGGCCTGGCAAATCTGTTTCTATAAAGATTACACCCAAGCAAACCCTATGGAGTTATTCTACTCTACTACATGGGGTCGCCATGAGTCAGACTGATCCCATGGCAATGGGTTTGGTGTCCTCACCCCACCCCCAAGTAGTAACACGTGGTAGAATTCATTGGTAGCATTCTCACCTTTCATATAGGAGATGTGGGTTTATTCCTAGCCAGTGTATCTCACGCACAGCCAGCACTTTGTCAGTGGAGGCTTGCATGTTGCTATGATGCCAAACAGGTTTTAGTGGAGCTTCCAGACTAAGATGGACAGGGAAGAAAGGTCTGATCATTTACTTGTGAAAATCTGATGGATCACAAGGATCCAGTCCACAGACAATCATGGGGATGGAGCAGGATCTGGTGGCCTTTTGTTCTGTCGTGGATTGGCTCACCATGAGTCGGAGCCAAGTCAGTGGATGTTCACAGCAAGGAGCAGCATCAGGATCCCAAACGTCTGGACTGATGGAATTATAAAACTGCTTTTATAATATTTTAGCTGTGGAAGAAGGTATAAAAGACAGCTGCCTCTATAGTCCTCTATAGCTCAGGCCTTATCCTTGGTGAATAATGGCCCAGCTTTGAAAGACTTTTCTTCAACAAGAGAGTTGTTGTTTCTCAGCCTTTGGACGCCCAAGGGAACTGGGATGCATCAAAAATGATCTTCCAGTCGCAATACAAGAGGGAAGTACGTGCATCTTCTGGTGGCCAAATATGACACCAAGGATGCCATCAGAATCACCCACGGAAAGAGCATGTGGAATTTTCTTTCATACACGTCATCACATATATGTGAATAGGTATGTATGACTGACATGTTTTTCCCCTGAGCATTTGACTGCCTTTATTGATAATGAATTGTATCTTTTCCTTTGAATGCCACCAATGAGCTTTGCAATATGGAACAAGAGTTAATTCCACAAAGAAAACCCCCAATAATTTATCTCAGAATTAGCATCCCTGAGAAGAAAAAGAAATACACAAAGAAAGACATATGTATAATTTATTATTGCATATCCTATTTTCCCAAATAATTGGCTTGAGGAGGCATGGATTTTGAATTGCAAAATAATGCAGGGGGTGTTTGGGGAATTAGAAAGAAGTGGGGGGGGGGTGTCTCATTTTGGTTAGGAAACTCCCCAGCATGTGATTACTCTTTGCAAAACAGAGCAGTTCTGTGAGGAAATCTGGGCTAGTTGGTACGGACTTCACCTCACATGGCTTTGCTAGGGCTTTCCCTGTAGATCTTTCTGGAAAGACCTTCGAGGCTTTCAGAGCTGGGAGGAGAGGCAGAAACTGTGGGCAGCTTCTTGGCCTGCACCTCCCCCAACCAACCTTTGGAGCTCCTCTACCCCTTATTTACCACAATTGTTGTAATCATTGTTAACCCAGCTTGAACAACCAGGGGCAGCCCCTCTTTTTGGTTTGCAGCAGCTTTTTTGACCTGTAATTTAGATAGATGGAGAACTGTCATCGAGTCAGCTCCGATGCCTGGCAACCTTTTGTACAAGAGAACAAAAATGTTGCCTGATCCTGAGCCATCCTCAGGAACGGTGTGTTCAGGTCCACTGTAAGGCTAGTGTGCCTATCCATCTCACCAAGGGCCCTCTGCTTCACCAAACTTAATGTCATCTTCCAGCGATTGATCCTCCTGATGATGAGTCCAATGCTAGTGAGGCGGACAGTGCTCTGTTAGGATTCAGAAGGTTTTCATTGGCTGATTTTCTGAGAGTAGATCTTCAGGCCTTTCTTCCTAGTGTTTCCTAGTCTAGGAACTCTATGGAAATCTGTCCAGCATGGGTGACCCAGTTGGCATTTGAAATACTGGTTCTAGCATCACAACAACATGCAAGCCACCACAGTATGACAAACTCTGATGGAAGGGTGGTGGAAGCTATGATTGACATATCATAAAATGCCCTCATTTAAAAAAAAAAAATTTATTGTGATTTGGGTGAAAGTTTACAGAGCAAATTCATTTTCTATACGGCAGTTCATACACACTTTGTCTCGTGACATTGACTACCTTTCCCCACAATATAACAGCTCTCTTCCTACTTCTTCCTTGTAGTTACCTCTTCCCTATGTCCTCTCCCGTGCACTCCCACCCCACAAGCTCTGCACAAACACTGCCCTTCTGTTCTCCCATGATTGATCTCTCCAAGGAGTGTATCTCCCTGATACAAATGTTCAGCCCATATGCCTATCTAAAATGCCCTCATTTAAAATACATAATTCAATGGTTTTCGGTAAACTTAAGTTGTGCTGGCATCACCACCATCTACTTCCTAAGCATTTTCATTACCCCAAAGAGATCCCTCTGCCCTTTGCCGGTGACCCCCATTCCCACCCCAGGCAACCACTGGTCACCTTTCTGGCTCTCTAGATTTGCCTGCTATGGACATGTCATAGAAACAGTGATACAACATGTGGTCCTTGGTGTCTGGCCTCTGATTTAGCCTCCTGTTTCTGACGTTTATCCATCTTCTAGCAGGCATCAGTAGGAGTCCCAGGGTGGTACGTACTGGGAATGGGCTTGGCTGCTAACTGAACATTTGGAGGTTCGAGTCCGCCCAGAGTGGCCTTGGATGAAAGACCTGACAGTCTACTTCCAAAAGCCCAGGATTACAAACCCTGTGGAGCACAGTTCTTTGCTGACACACACACAGTCACCATGAGTCAGAACTGACTCAACTGTTTTGAGCTATACAACCAGCAACTGGCCTGTTGGTTCCAAACCAGACTCACTGCCATTGAGTCGATTCCAACTCACAGTGACCCCCACTGGTTTCTGAGGCAATAAATCTTTACAGAAGTAGCGTGCCCCATCTTCCTTCTGTGGGGTTTGAACCGCCAACCTTCTGGTTAGCAGTCAAATGCCTTAGACATTGCACCAAATAGTCTATATTCTTTTTTGTTGCTGAAAAGAACCCACTTGTATGGGTGAGAAGCCATGAATGAGGGGCTCAAGAGTGTATAACCAGTTCTCCAAGATTCCTTAGAAAATGTAACCTGTTGCTTTGGCATCCATATCACATCTTGGTGCTGTAGTTAGAAGTTCTAATTTGTTAGGAAGACACAGAGAGGTGCATGAGAGGTCCAGAAAACAAAGATAAACACTTTGACATACACAATACCGCATTATTGGTTATAAAAAAAATTATTCTACAGATTAATTTCAGATAGATACATAGGTAGACAGGCTAAATGATTAGGTATGTCTAGGCCAAAGGGGAATATACCTATGACCATATATAAGTTTGACAGATGACATTTCTACATATGCATTTGTATGTGCTATAAGAATGTCCATATGTATAATAGCACTAACAGGACAAAGTTAAGATAACTTATTAGCCACATCCAGACACCCTTAGGGAGTGAGTCATTGGGTCCATAGTAACGGAGGACATCAAGCTCAATAGGCATAACATACTACACAAAAGTGTTGTTCTACATCTTACTTTATGAGTAGCAAGTGGGGTCTTAAAAGCTTTCAAGTAGCCATCTAAGTTGCAGTGGTGGGTCTCTCCTAGTCCAGGGCAAAGAAGAATCAAGAAAACCAAAGGTGCATGGAAAAAATTAGTCCAAGGGGCTAGTTTTTGTTGTTAGGTGCCGTTGAGTCATCTTTGACTCGTAGCAACCCTGTGCACAGCAGAATCAAACACCGTGTGGTCCCACGCCAGCTCCGTGATCTCTGCTATACTTGAGCCCATTACCTCAACCACTGTGTCAATCTATATCATTGAAGGCCTTCCCCTTTTTTTTCCACCCTCCACCTTACCAAGCATGACATCCTTCTC